CCATGCAGCAGGACTCCTGCTTAATACAGTGGAGCATCTGCTGCATCTTCCTCTGTACCACAAGGTAGGTAATACGTTGCCAAGTATAATCCAAGCCAGGTAGTAAGTTGCCAGGTACAGGTCAAATATAAAAATATTACTATGCCAGAAAGAAAATACTATTAGTGTTGTGTCTATACAAGGGACTATACTGGTTATATTCTCCTATATTAATCCCTTCCCCACAAACCAAACAGGAGCCCCTCAACAACAATATACCCTTCTTGCTACTAAATCACAAACACAGATCAAACATCTTCATTCCTGTTTCATTCTCTTTGGATTGAGATTCCTTGCGAGTATGTCAGTTCTGGTGGTGGCTTTGTGATCTGGATCCTGCTTGGTAGGGTCTATGCAGAGACCAACAACTCATTCGACACAACCCACTATGCAGGCATCAGATGACTGTGGCTTTCAGTTACTACCTCTGGACTGAAGCCAGAAGCCTAGTGGTGAAAAGCTCTTTATACCATTACCAATCCCCCGAGCCACCCAGTCCTTCTCCATTGCATACAGGTTTTTAGTGTTGTGCCTTAAGATCTGTTCTGGTTCTGAGTAACGTTCTTTGTGATGGGAGTCTTGCCACTCCCCCGCTCATGAGGGGGAAAAAAAAAACCAAGGAGGGAGTGTGAAACCTATTTTCAAACTGTTATGATTATCTGATGCAGCTACTACTCTTGGATTCTCTAAGGGAGAGACCCGAGTCCTGGGGAATGTCTGTCTTAGGTGAAGAGTAGGCTCCAGCCTAGTTAGGGCTAAGATCTGTGCGCCTCAGTCAGTACTGCTGCCTTTAGCTTGGTGGTAGCTCTTGCCTCACTGGCTCAGAACCATGCCTAATGTCAGCACAAATATACCCTGGAGAAGGCAGAACACATACCCAGTGAGGCCCTGATCATGCACTCTCAGCTGGTTTCCATCTAAACTATCCACCTGAAGAGTTAGAGGCTGAATTGCACCATCTCCGCAGCTCCTGTCCTCCAGTTCAGCAGAGAAAAGTGACTCAGTGTGACATTACCCCAGTGCAGATTTCTCTTCCAGTATCTTTTCTCTCAGACTCTTCTGAAAACACATCACAGAGCAGCTGCTTTTCCCAACAGAGAACTAGCTGCAGCAGGCTTAACAGTAATACATTGGTACCCAGCCTTCACCAAAGAGGGCTATAAGCTGCTGATCCTGCAATAACACCTCTAAGGATTTAGAGTCTTTAATGTTGATTGCTGAATATTTCAGTTCCCCTCTGAACCATTCCAACAGTTGTTTCAAGTGAATGTATTCATTCCCTTCCTTTTAACCATTGGAGCTTCTTGCTTGGTCTGGGAGCAAGAAAGAGGGAATGAAAGGGTCTCTTCAAATTTGCTGTAGCTGCTCTCTTAAAAGAGAGCATTGACACAGGTTCTGCAGCTCTCGCATGTAGTAAGGCTCCCAGAGGACTTGCATGCACAGAAAGACTGCAGGATCCTTGTGGGCACTCCAGGAAGAGTGTGGCTATTCTCCTCCCCGTTGGATGAGAGTATCGTATCTATTCCTAGCATGGATCTACCAGGTGGCAGCATTCCCCTGCCAACATACCTTTGGTTTGGCTTACCTTGAAAGCTATGATGTTATGTTATATGATGACGTCATTATATTTATTTCAACTTTCAATGAAGATTCCTGGCAAATCTCCGAGCTGGAATATCTTCTTTTTAATGGCTCCAAGATCCCTCCAAGCTTGGTGCAGATTACATTTATATAACACAACCGAAGTAAGGTGAACTTGCTAGGAGTGTTTTTTGCAGCTGTTGACATTACTAAATTAAGATTATTTCTCCATTAAACTATGGAAGAGGAAAAACTTATCCAGTATTTCTACAAACACTACTGGGGGAATGTCTAGCTGTGGTTATTTTCGCGATGACTCCATCATGCACTCATGCAATCTCAAGCATTTATCTTTGTGGTGGTGTTTTGAAAATGCTAAATGAATCAATTGGATTTTTTTTCAGTTAAGTACATGTGTAAGGACACAACCCTGTGATGGTCTGATGATGGTTTGATGCGTAACAAACGTCTCCTGGCTGGGTCTTTTTCTTCACACTACCAGGACTAATTTTGGTTGAGCTTATTACAAATGTTGGACATCTTTAGTCTATGTTTTCAATCCTTTTATCAACTGTATTACTCCCAGCCCTTCCAAATTCACCTGCACCATCACAGCTTTCACTAAAAATCACATGCTCTTCCTGATAAACAGAAGTATGCAGCATTTGAGAGTCCTCCATAAGATACTGCTCTGCACTGGCAAAATCCATGTCTTGGATGCTAAAACCAACCCCATCAAGCCACCTCCCTTGAACACCAGGCCTTAACTTTCTTTAATAGATTTGAATAAGCACATGGTGTGAAAGAACAAATTCTCATGGATAAAGACTCAATGCACTGACAAAACAGATGAAGTCCTGGCCTTGCCACAAGGAACTACAGCAAAGGTTAAATGACTCAACTGATGCTATATAGTCTGTGGTGGAGGTAGAAATTAATCTCAATTTCCAATATTACACTTTAAAACACTGAAATTGCGAAAGAAGGAACTGAAGAATAGCTAGAAGCAAACTTTCAACCTTTCCCTTCTTATTTCTTCCCCACAGTGGTCTCTGTGAGGTCTTACGATGCCACTACAAAGATCAGCAAACAAAAATTGGCTGTGTTATGAATTGATTTCAATTTAAAAGAGCCATAATTCAATTTTGCTTTAAAAACATATTACAAAATCTAATATTAAGAAGATTTGCATAGAAACATTCATCATTTGTTTGGCTTGAAACCCTTCCACTGCAAGCCAAACATCTCAACACTGGGGCAGGGGGACCAGAAAGTGAACCTGACCAGAAACAACAGTGCAAACTATGAGTTTATTTTTGCTCTACCAGCTGACAAAATCTAGTTAGTTATTTAAAAAGAAAATAAAGTCACGGGCCTTGTGCATGTGGAAACCTGTTTTTTTTTTAACCCCAAATATTCTTGTCAATTTATTAGTAATGGGACACTTTTAGTTGAGAAAGGATGTAAGAACATACATCCTACTGATCACAATGACTATCGGATTAAAGAGAAGACAGATATGGTGATGGATATTTAGACTACATTAACAAGACTCTTCTTTCACACTCATGTAACACTCACAAATCCACACACATCTCTGCACACATAAAGACTAAGGCTCTATAAGCAAACAGCGAGTGGTGGTTCCCAGCTGAAGCCTCTGTTTGCCCCATGGCTGGGCTCACAGGCAGATAAATCACAGGGTGAGTCCCCTCGCTCAGCAGTGCCAATATCACTTCAGTGAAGTTTGCTAATGGGGCAAAGGACCTTGTATTGTAATCCAGTGACATTTTCAACCTTCGCAGAACTTTTGTTGACATTCCCGAGTCCCTGGCTGCCATCCCAGCATGAAATAGTTTCTGTTCACATAATTCTCGTGTTTACCACTCATGAAAAACTCTTGCTTTGGGCTTTTTTTTTTTTAAATAAACTTTTTCTTTTTTTCTTTTCTTTTATTTTTTTTTGCAAGTGAAACTCTGTCTAAAAAAATATTGGCCCCAGGCACACAAGGTTTTGCATAAATTCATATGTGATGAATGGCTGATTTTAATGTTATTTGGGTATTTGTCAGAACCTAACAAATATACATGGTAATGGTGGTTCATAAACTTAAACATCTCAATATACCCTTTCTTCTAGAAATAAATTACGTTTGTTTGCCCTGCCTGGAGTCCTAAGGTAGCCGACATTAGGAATATTTTAAATGTGATCATCCATCCAGCATGTCTTTCAGGCGCCACGAAGATTAAATGAAAGAATCATAAGATGAAGGTCTTTAACTTTTAATCCTTTTACAATGAACCCTTAGATAGACATGGGGGCAGGGTGCCTTCTATGTGAGTAATAATGCCTCTGTTCCTCTTCACTAGGTTAATGAATACCCTAAATGTCCCAAGATCTGATTCCCCCCCCCCCTCCCTTCCCAAACTATTGAAATTAGAAGCAAAGAGACGGGTGGTAAAACGCAGCGAAAGAGCGAGAGAAGGAATGAATATGCATTCGGAGACAGGCGAGCTAAACGTCAGAGAAAGCAGGGCTGCTTTTGGCACTGGCAGACACACGGGTTGAAGATAATGACACAGATGCCCTCAGTTTGGGGGAAACAAAATATAAAGGGTTTTGATTCCAAGACAAATACGGAACACGGTTTCCTGCGCTGTCAGGGAGCTTCTGAAGCGCACGTGGAGAGTTTGTTTTTGCAGTTGGTATCTATGAGATACAGACCGCCGGGGCTCCCAGCACGGAAAACTCAAACACTTGCTTAATCGCGACGGGTTCGACCGAGCCGCGGGACAGTTACGCGCCCGCGGGCCGGGGCCGGTCCCACCGCGGCTTCCCGGCGGCCCCGGGGCAGTCCGGTGCTCCAGGGCGCCGGAGGGGGCCGGTCCCCGAGCAGCCCGTCAGTGCGAGGAGCACCCGGGGCTGGCGGGAGCCCAAGAGTTAACCGGGCTGCGAGGGGCGACGGCGGGCGGGCGGGGAGGGGTGCGAGGCTGTCATAGGATCGGGCTAATAACGTGTCTGCGCTGAAAGCCCCCAGAGCCCAAGGGTCAAGTTTCAGCAGTGTCCCACCACAATGGTAGGTGTGAAAGACACGTGTCCCCTTGTAAATGAAATGTCAAGCGGTTAAAAAAGAAACCCCCAAGCCAGCTGCCGCCGGGCCGCCCCGCCTGCGCGCTGCCGTGAGCGCCTCCGCGGGGGACGGCGCAGCGCGGAGCCGGCGGGACCCCTCCACACAGCACAACCCCGCTCCTCGGTACAGCCGCGAGCAGGTTCCCACCCCTCCCGCCGGCGCGGAACGTCCCGCTGAGCGCGGAGCAGAGCGGAGCCACCCCCCCTCCCCGAGGGTGGGCAGGGCAGATAGCAAACAGAATCCAAACGGCTCGTCTTTTAGTGGTTGACTTTAATTCTGCACTGCGCTTTTACTACAAGGATATAAAGAATAAATAGCAGATACTCTTCATTTACATAGGATTAAGTCATTCAAACTGTCCTCTCTATTTACAATAACATTGTGCTCTAGGCGCTTATTTTTTATTTTAAATCTAAAGTCCATAAGGAAAACAAGAAAAAAAAAAAACCCTCACACACACGCTTTCCGAATAATGGAAAATAGCTTTAAGACGTTTTCTTATCAAAAAGTTTGGTTTCTATTTTTTAATCCTTTTATTAAAAAACAAACAAAAACAACTAAAAAAAAATATAACCCAACAAAAATCCTACTTCGCCAAAGCGAAGCAACTTCTCTCCGGAATATAAATACCCCAAAAAAGATACATTAGCAACGATCAGGATAATAGTCTTAAAAATACAGTAGACGCTGATTATTTCACGTATAATACTGACCTTTTAATAGTATATTAAACCGGTGCCATATATACACACAATATACATTCTCCTACACGTTACAGTGCATTACAACGTTAACCAGAAAGCAAATGCCCCTCATGTCTGTGTGAGCCCAGGTCCCCGCGGCGCGGGGCGGAGGGGCAGCGCAGCCCTAGCAGGAGCACTTGCACTCCGCGATGATGGGATACTGGATCGGGATCCATGTGCACCGCTGCCCACCCCGGCGCTGGCACCGCCACCTCAGGATCGTCAGATGCACGGACTTGGCAGGTTTGCAGACCATGCCTTCTGGGACTGAACAAGACCGTTTACTGTAGCAGCTGCCCACTTTGACGTACCGGGGCCAAAAGCGGCTGCCGAGATCGTTCCACGTGTATAGGACCGGGCAGAAGGTCTGGGACCAGAGCCACATCTGCAGCTTCCTGCGCAGCTTCTTGCTCAGCCTGTGCTTCTTGCCCGGCTGCAGCCCGTCGTAAAACTCCAGCCCTTTGATTTCGCTGGGCATCGCTCCCGAGGGTCTCTGCCTGAGCAGCAAGTCCAGCTCAGCTAGATCGTCCACTCCGAGCCGGTCCTCGGGCAAGGAAACAGCCATAAAGTTAGGGTCGAAGTGTCCGCCCATGAGGTTCCTTAGCAAGGTCTCGTTAAGATCCTTCTCCTTGGGGTCAAAGATAGGGTCCGGGTGCTCGATTAGATCCACCAAGGGCAAGTTGTCGCTGGGAGCCGGTCGGATGTGCAGATAGTGCTGGCAGGCGCCCTGCTCCAGCCGGAGACCCAGCAGAACCACCACGGCGTATATAGTCACAAGGCACTGGGAATGATCCATCCTTGGGAGACCGCTGGGGGGGGGGGAGGGGGGGGGGAGAGGGGGGCTGGGTTCACCAAGCAGCAGGGGAAGAAGGTGCAAGCAAATACATCAGAAAAGTTGTACGGGGATATCCAAAATAGCTTGTCTTTACGGGGAATCCCCTCCGCTGCCCGCACCACCAGCAAAGGCAGCCCCCTCACAAGCCCGGAGAACAAGCCCCCTAGCCCCCTGCAAACACTCTCCTTGCAGGCGTCTCGATAAAAATTTCTCCTGGTGGAGCCGCTCCAAATTTCTGCTGCTGCCGCCGCTTCTTTTCACCCTCCCCGGCAAAGGGAGATGCGTCTTTTTTTTGTTGCAAATTCTGCTTTGCTGTTGCTGCTGCTCCTCGTTGTCTGCCCGTGCGTATGGGAGAAGTTGCTGCCGATTCTTCCTCCCCGCTCCTCTCCGCCGTCCGCGAAGCAGCCTCCTCAGCAGCAACAGCAGCCACGCACGTTGGCACCAGTTTGTCTGCTTTGCAAGGACCCAAAGCCTTTAAATTTCCTGCACTTTCAGCTTCATCTCCATGGAAACCACAGACTCTCTTCTAACCCACCCCACCCCCCTTAAAAAAAAAACCACACACACAACACAACCCCCACTCCCACAACAGTCCCGGACCGCGCGGCTCCCCCTGCCTACACCCTCCGCAGGGGCAGGCTGAACCGGCAGCCGCCGCTGCCTCCCCCCGCCTCCCGCACGCCGCCGCTCACGCGAGCCCGCCGCGCCCCGGGAGATGCTGCTCTCTCCGGGGCAGCCGCCGCGCCGCCCCGCTCCTCCTGAACGCGCCTCCGCCGCCGGCTCCTCACTCGGCCTCGCCGCCGCGCCCCGCCGCGCCGGTCACCCCATGGGCGCAGCCCGCGCGGCGGCGGAGCGCGGCCTCCCCCCGCGCAGGAGCGCGAGCTTCCGCGCCGGCTCCCCCACCGCGGCCGGCGCTACCCCGGCGGCCGGGTGCCGCTTGCCCGGCCCCGCACATGGGTCCCGCGGCGCGCTGCCCGCCCGGCTGGCCGCCCGCCCGCCCGCGGGGCCGCCGCAGACACCTCCTCCGCCCGCGCCCGCCCGCGGCCCCGGCGCCGCGCGGCCGCCGCCGGCCGCCTTCCCGGGCGGAGCGAGCCCTCTGCTGGCGGCGCCGCTGGCGGGCGGCGGGCACCGGCCGGAGAGGAGCGGCAGGCAGCCGCGGGCAGCCGGCGCCTCTGCCGCGCTCTGCGGGGCCGGAGAAGCCCCCGGAATAAGCGTCCCGCGCCCGCCGAAACGAGAGTGGAACCCCCTGCGGAGCATCCCCGGTGGGAGGAGCGGGCCCCGCGGCCGGTGCTCGCACGCCAGGGGCTGCCGCCGAGCGAGACCCTCCACACGGAGCCCGGGATCCCCGAGATCCCGCTGCGGGTCTCTCGGCTTCCTAAGCACTTTGTCTAGGGAGTTCTCCAAGAGCTCTCCATCATCAGCACCACCATTTCCAGCCATGCCCCAGCCCACACAGACAGGACGGGAAATCCACCTCAGCAGCGGAGACATAAAACAACGTAAAAAATTGATACTAAACGGTACTCCCGTCGCAGAGCCGCCGCCTCGCCAAGAGCACTCGCAGGACCCCGCGCTGCAAGGGGGGTGAACAGGCCATTACGGTTCCAGTAAGATTTCCCGAAGTGCTCGAATCCCATTCCTGCAGGCTATTTAGGCACTTAGGAGCCCAAGTTTAATGGGACCCAAGCTCAGTCATTCCACCTGAATTATTTAAGCACTTGTTTAAATGTTAACCTTCAAATTTAGGGTCACTGAAAATAGAGATCTTATTACTGAGGTGAACATATTTCTTTTCCTAAAAATCAACAATATTTTCTCAACTATTTTCACTCTAAGTTATATTTAAACCAGCTCTCACTTTGCTTTAATCCTGAGGATGTAGGGCATCTTATAAATAATAGAACTGGAATAAATTACATGAAAAAGATGGAAAACTGACACTAGCCCATCTGTAAAAGGAGCCTCAGTGACACTTGCTGCGATTCCAGTCAAGGATCTGCTGGGGTTTTACTGAATTTCTTTTCACCTGGAAGTTCAGGTCTCTACCTTCATCTAGAGCCTGACACTTTCATTGCTGAACCCTGGCATACACGTTGTCCCTGGAAGTAAGTGAGAAGCCATACCCTTGTCTTTCAAATACAATTCCCCAGAAGTCAAGGGGTAGAAGCAGATGACAAGCATTCTGCTGAATTCAGGACTTAACTGGGTATGACTTTGGTGCTGAGCTGAATATGGGCAGGACACAGAGGCGCTGAGGTCTGAGCAGAGCCAGTGGGCAAGCTCAGACACAAACGGCTTCTGGCTCAGGTTTTCACACACATCTTGACCTGTTCTTGCCATGGTTCCACACTGCTTCCTGGGATTGAGCCTGTGGAAGCTGCTCCTCTACTGCCGAGCTGCGGAGGCTTTACTCGCCCCTCCTTCCACACACATTCCATATTTTTGCCCACCTGTCAGGACAAAATGTTTCTCAACGCAACACAAGGGAGCATCAGCCCATGCTCAGAGCTCATCGGCTGGTCCCCTTCTTCTGGGAAGGGCTGATGACTGCTTGCAAAAAGGAGCAGTTGTGGGGATGGCCGATCAATCCCAGCAAGGGTGCTTATGGTATTTTTGGGTGCCTGTCTTTTTTCTCTCTTCCTTGCTCCTACCTGCAGCCAATAAGGAGGTCACTGCCAGTATTTCTGAATTCACTTTTAAACTACCTTGTTTAAACACAAAGGCACAAATAATAATATAGGTTAAAATAACTGCATTTCAAACGGAAAGCAAAAACTCAGAAGTTACACCTAATGTCTTGTATTTCTTTTTTTTTTTAATAATAAACGCAATTTTACTCAACTGGTATTTGAGAACAATTCTTTAACTATCAGCCTCTGAAGGCTAAAATCTAAAAAAGGTCTCTAAGGCTAAAAATAAAGCCTATAAGCCTATGTCCTGGCTATTTTGTGCCTGATCCTACATTCAAAAATGTGATTCTAAGCAAGCACTTGAAGATCTTTCTCTCCCAAACTGAGTTACCTGCAGGAAGAAATGTTTCTGGGACAAGGCTGGCTCAGGGGGACTGCCTATTTAGGGTACAAGGAGGTTTGTTCAGAGTAGGCTGGAGCTCCATAATTCCTCAAGTGCAGGTGTCTGCTGGGGCTGCACCAGGCTCCTGGCAAGGCCATGAAAGCTCAAGGGATGCAGAAGTGACAGAAGTTGCTTGTGGCCCAAGAATTTCTTGGTGGAATGGCTGATAGCAGGACTGGGAAGAGCTGCCAGTAACGGCTCTGCCAGAAGCCTCTGGGTCAGAGGGAAAAGAAACTATTTCAGGGTTTGCTGAAAACAGCAGTAAATGAAACCTAGAGGTAAACGGCCTGATCAGGCGCTGTGCATGATGCCAGCCCTTCCTGGGACAGGGAGAGGGGCCAGCAGCTCACAGAGGCCCTAGACGGTCACTCTGCTGGCAATGGTGCATGAAGCAGCAGAGAATACAACTCCCTTTGCCTCAACTTTATTGGTTCTGGAGTGCTGTCAGGAGTAAAAATGTGGGGTTTTTTTTCAGCAGACAAAGCAAATTCAACCTTCAGGGCACACAGGAAGCCAACGTGGGCAAAAGTAAGACACCACTTCTGCAGGGTCACATCTCTGATGAGGAGAGAAGAGGTATGCAGCCTGCACTGCTCTGCTGCTGACTCTGAAAACACATTCTGTAAGGATCTGGTTTCAGCCCACAACAGCAAGGATGCACTGAAAGAATTCAGAATAGATTTGTTTTCCGTTAAATCTACTAACGGAAATGGCCTGACCTACTTCACCCAACTCAGTGCTCAGGGACATCCCACTGCATTCAGTCTATGGTGTCAAATCAGTCTGGTCTATGAGCCAGACTGTTGTCTCAGGCTCAATGCATGCACCACTCTAAAACATGGAGGGAATCTCACAAAAAAGAAATAAACCACTACAAAACTAGGATGAAGAAGAACTATGCCACGTGTGTTTGGAAAAGCTGTGTCTTCCCTAGGAGTGGAGGCTTCCTTACAATATTCTATTTTCCCTTGCACTTAAAGATGATTTAAATCACTATGTTATTGCCTTTCACTTCCTATTTTAAACATCTATTGGCATGAAATAGTGATTATTCATCACTAAGAAAGGTAAACCAACCACACAACCAGATGAGTGCTCTGTCCAGCTCTCACATTGTGCTTTCCTAATTTATAGTGCAAGAAATGCCAATCCATGCCTCTTTCATAGGTAGCCTGGAGAGTCTGAGGAGATGCTACCAGTAAAGCTGTATCAATGCAGAGGGATATCCAGGGTTTTACTAAAATTACAGAGGAAACCTGTGACCAATATTGCTGACAACTGAATTAAATCACTTAAATTCTAGCCTTAAATCCTAGCGAGCTTCTAGGCTAGCTCCCTCTTCTTTGGTCACACCCCTATACATTCTGTAAGGAACTCCTTACAGATTAATTTTCTAAATTGTGAATCCCTAAAGAAATTCTAAAGGAAATGCACAGCTTTCAGACATTCTACACAGTTCATATATGCCATATGACCATCGACCCAATCCACATTACTGGCTATCAAAAGCCATGTATGACCTCTCCCAGGAATCCATGCACCACAGGTATGCAATCACTGTTCTACTGCTTTCAAGCTGTATTCATTAGTCTGGAAAGATTGAGGGAGATCTTTGCTGGATGTTTGAAACATTGTGCTGCCTCTCAAAGTACCTCATCCATTTCTCCGTCTCTTTCCTGATTTAAGGAAAGGGCCACACAATAAAGATTCTGTTAATGGACCACACAATGGCAGCAGGTGATGAGCTGCTCTGAAAGAGAACAGTTCTGAATCACATACTTTAGAAGGTACACATTTTCTTGAGACAGCAAAGTTCTACCTTGAAATCCCAACAGAATGGAGATGGGGAAGGATACATTTGGCTAAGAACCTGTATATACAATGATAAATGATGTATAAATAATATATTTTGAAACTAAGCTCTGGGATGAATGTTTTATAGTGGAGTAAATCCTAAAATGACTGATGCATTATAGCAATGCAAAAAACCCAAAACTAAAAAGAGACACCCCCCCCCCCCATAAAACAAGTAAGTTATTAGTCTTTAAGACTGGCTATATGCAGAGATGTATCCATTGCCTAAAAAGAGAAGAGAATAAAATCTTGCAA